CCCTGCACAACATTCTAATATTGTCCCACCTTGCCTTCTCCTAAGAGCCTTTTTCAGGTGCATAATGCCTTCAGTATTGAGGTTTGTGATCATTGTATCCCACCTCTTTTCTCCCATTCAAAAGACCTTTTTGTCATTGCCCTCTCCTCTAAATTGCAACCTCTCTTTCTCTTGGGACTTTGTGGACATACTATTAAAAATGACGAGCAGTCAGATGAGGTTTTTCATTCATTCAACATTGAACAGGTATATGTGGAGCCCTATGTGGTAGACATTTTTTCCATTTTTCCAAGCCTTTGGAGGTGTATTCTGGTGAGGTGGAGGGGAAGGCCACGCAAACTGTAGACATAAATAAGCAAACGTTGCAAGGTGCTCTAGAGGATGGGAGAAGCAGTATGGTTGCAATTTTAAATAGGATGCTCATGTTAAACTATTGAAATGGTGACATTTGAGCACAGACTTTAAGGAAGTGAGGGGAAAAGCCATGCAGAAAGCTGAAGATACTGCTTTCCAGGCAAAGAGAAGTGCCAGTGCAATGGTCCTAATGATGGTATTGTGTCTGGCTTATTGGAGGAACAGCAGAGAGGCAAGTAAGGGTAAAGCGAGTGAGCAAGGGAAAGAATAGAGGGGCAGGTAACGGAAAAGGAACAGGTAAGAGTCTAGGAGGCCAATGTAACAATGTGGCTTTTATCCTGAGGTAGATGGGGAGCCATTGGAAGATTTTTTTTTTTTAATGCCTACAGCACCTGTTCTTTGGAAGATTTTTAAATGATATGAGCGGACATGTTTCAGATCAGTGGTTCTCCAACACTTTAGCCTTGAAATTCCATTACATTCTTCAAAATTCTTAAAGACCCTACACAGCCTTTGTTTATGAGGTTTATAGCTGTCAATATTCATCAGATTATAAATTTAAAAAATTTTAGATTTACTAATTCATTTAAAAATAAAACCATTATGTTAGCAAAACACTTTATAAAAATAATTTTGCTTTTTTTTAAAACAATTTTGCAGATATCTTCAGTGTCTAGCTGAGTAGAAGACAGCTGGATTCTCCTGTCTGCTCTGCATTCAGACTATTGGGATACACAGTTCTGGTTGAAGTATAAAAAAATCTACTTAAATATATAGTAAGGGAGAAATATTTTACTAGCCTTTTCAAAAAATTGTGGATATTTGATACTATAGCAAAACCCAATAAGACAGTAATTTCTTGAAAGTTACAACATGGAACCTGATCATTGAACTTTTCATTCTCTATTACATTAAAATTCATTCATTTATCCTAAACTTTGAAGGAATCTTTTGCCCATAGGTGATCTTGTGACAACAAAGTGTTGGAAAGTGTTGGCTCACTGAGTTATACAGAACTTCCAAGTGTTGACATACTTTATTATGTACACATTAAAAAGTCACATTTGTTAGTATCACCACAACTCATTAAGAAAGTCTTACAGTTGTGGGAAGCTGAAAAACTCACAGTGATAGTGTAAGTTTTTCACAATTTTAAGTTTTTGCTTGATAGCCTAATTTGATCACTAGTAGCAAATACTGCCTGTTTTCCTTGAAGTAACAGGTTCACTTTGTTTCATTTTCAAGAAAATCTGCCATACCCAATAATGAATACAACTTCGTTGTTCTTTCAAGTAAAAGTGATATTCCTTGAGATAAAAGAAAAAAGCCAGTTCACTTTGCAGCTCACGTAGTAACAAGTGCTTTTCCTTGAGAAACCATTGTACTTTGGTAGCAGCAGAAATGCTTTATGCGTGCTACCAGTTTTGTCACATGAAAAATTTAGGTGTTTCTTCAAAGGCTAAGATTTCATAAAACTAATACTTGTTACTGCTTCATCAAGAACATTTTTTAAGTGAAACAGTGGACTTTTTGGTTTTCTTTGTTTTTATTGAGAAATGTATGGTAGTGGACAGTACAATGACTATTGGTAGTTTGGCAATGGCACCAAACTACCAATAGTCATTGTATTCTCCACTACCATACATTTCTCAATAGATTCATGCTAAGTGCCTGTAGTTTTCACTGTCGCTTTTGTGCCATCTGTACAAATGTTAATACAGTGTCAATAGGTTCGTGCTAAGTGCCTGTAGTTTTCACTATCGCTTTTGTGCCATCTGTACAAATGTTAATACAGTGAAAATGGCAAATAAAATCTTAGTATGAAAATAGGATTGACTTCATGGATTTTCTGAAATTCTTTTCCCACTATTTTTAGAAAAAAGGATAGACTAATAGTAGATTAAACTATGGTTATTTAGACTTGAGTATTTGGCAGACATTTTTCCCCAAAAAATGAATGAAATGGGCCATCACTTCACAAAAAACAACTTCTGTTTCAGAGGATCCCTCCGGCTGCTATGTTGAGAATAGACTGAGGGAATGTAAAAGAACAGATAACTGTCAGCAATTAAAAATATCAACACTGATGCTTTTTATTCCCTTAAAGAGTAGGAGAGAGTCAAGTTGTAAATCTCCATTTTTATAAAACTTGATAAAGGTATACAAAGTGGCATGAGAGTGAGCCCCCAACTCTATAGTTGGAGATTATAGCGGTAGATCAGGAGAGATGACAACCTGCACTGGAGATAGGGAGGAGGGCACAGTATAGTGCGGTGTAGCTTAAAGAATTACATGAGTAATGTGGACAATGAGAACTACAAGAATTTAGAAGTAACTTAGAGAAAGACCTCTATGAACTGGCTAGGGTTTATATTGTTAGGTTTCACAAGGGCAAGGGTTTTGATCTGTTTCAGTACCTGATATATCTCAAGTATCTGGTCCCTGGCACATCACAAGTGTTTAGTAAATGTTGAGTGTTGAATATGGGAAGATAGAACTTAATCCAGAAAATATGTTAGGTGCATGCTAATTCACATTCTTAGGTAGCCTTCAACTTCAACAAACTAGGTAATACCAAAGAAAACAGGTTTTTGAAAACTTGCTTCCTAAATAGTAATCCCAGCTAACATATTGATAGCTTTTATGGTGTGCTAAGTGTTTTACGTGATCTTTGGGAGGTATTATCTTGTTTTGCAGATGAAATAGTTTCAGATAAGTAATTTGCCCAAGGTCACACAATTACTATGTGACTAAGCCAGGATTTGAACCAGGTCTTTCTAGTTCCAAAGTACAAAGTCTTAAATGTACTCTTGCCCAAATAGGTCTAGTATGTAAAAGCCATATTACAATAATTTGAAATCGGTATTGTCTCAGATAAAAAAGTAGAGATATTGAAAGTATAGTAGATTATGTGGAAGGAATATCAGACCGATATGAAAGTTCTTATATAACTAAGTAAAATGTAACTTGAAATATGTTGAATAATGATAACTTTAATAGAATAATAATTTGTATGGAAAAAAATTCCATTCAAGACTGAAAGAAAACAAAATACAATGCAAATAAATTTAATCTAGCCAGTTATTCTTTTCTTGTTCTGGTATAAAATTATATTTGTATCAAACACAGGAGGGCAGCAGGTGATGTTCTGATAGAAAATACTTTTGGAAACCTCTAAACTTGTAGATTCCTGCTAACTTAGGAGAAAATTAACTCTTTATTTACTTACAGTGATATATTAAGAAAGCCACTTTGTGAACTATAAAGCGATGAACATGTTTTTCATTTGAAAAATATGTAGTGGACACTACAGATCTCTGTATTATGTTTACAAGTGTGGGATAAGATGTGGACTTCACCCTTAAGAGGATGCTAGTTAGGGAAATAAATACAGCAGCACATAAATAACTGATCTGTAATAGCAAATAGTAAGTGCTAAAGAATGATATAGAAAAAAAGGCTATAGTGTTTACAAGGAGAGATCTTTGCAAACTGTCAGTGAGGAAATGGATTAGTCATTGTTGAAAAAGTCTTTTGAGCAGGACCTTGAGTGATAAGTAGGATTTACAAGTGTTAAGACAAGGACAAGGCATTATGAGCCTCTGGGGATATTACCATCTGCCCTACCTAGCAAGGGCAGGAGAATTCAAACAACTCATTCTTTTTTAAAAACCCTTCCATAACTTCCAATAACTTTTTATGGTTTATAGGGTCCTCCGTTCTTTGGCTCCTGCTTTCTTCATAAAGCTGGAAAAACAAGTTAAGGTCGAAATCCAAGGATTGAGATAACAATGATCTCAATCTTCACAACAACCCTGAGAAGGTTATCTCATTCTACCAATAAGCAAACAGACATAGGGAAAATTAAGTTTTTTCTTAATATCACTCAGCTAGTAAAAAGTAAGACAGGAACTTACACTCAGGTCTGATTCCATCATCCAGGCTGTTCACAGGACAGGTCAAGGTTTCCAAAACCGTGTCACAGAATTCTAATTCCTTGAAAAGGTTTAGATGGTTTATTTTTTATTTTTGGTAGGACCTGGGGTGGATAAGTGGAAGAGAATATCTTGATTAAGTAAGTTTCAAAAATGTTCCACACCTTGGAAATTCATGCTTCAGATTGGGTTTTTTTAAGTTCTGCAGTAAGAAGTTTTGCTTAACTCATTTCCTAAATTAATTTGATCTTGGAGTTCCTTTTCTCGAGAAATACCAAGATAATTTGGAGGGAGGCTGGATACTGCTTTCGGCAATGTAAGAAATTTGAATAGAGAAATGATGTATTCAACCCTAGGCTTGAAAATGAATTTGACAGCAGTGTGTAGGTGGAACCCATAACCACAGATAATTTTCCTTTCCTCCTTAGATTGTAATGCCCTCAGCTGAAAATGAATACCTTAGTGAGTGGAGAATTCTTTGTTCTCAGCTCTGATTCTTTTCATCTCTCCAAGACTAGCAACTTAAAGATATTAGGAAAAAAAGAGAATATTATATTGCACAAGTTAGTAATGAAGCTATC